GTCCTTTCTCATTGCAAATCACATATTAGATTTCTAAGTATTTGTTAATGTGTTATTTCAGGTATAGTTACATCTTAGCAGATGTCACTTAATTACAGAATGCTGTAGGTTATTCTTTCCATCATAGGTCTCTTGTAGTTTGGCTTCTTTGTAGATTTCTTATTGAATGCAAAGGCAGTTACATAATCATAAGAAGACAGGGATTCTCAGCTGAATTGAGTAGTAGGAAGTGGCAAAAATAGTAAAGTTCTTATGAGCAGTGTATCAGATGAAAATTCATACTGAAAGGGGAGATAACATGGCAAAATACTTTATACTGCTTATTTGTTATAATTGTGAATTTCTATCAGGATAATGAAATTGTTCTGATCCATCTGCTCCAGTGCTTAAAAGATTCGAGAGAGTTGCAAACTGCCTTCTTTCCAGGGTAATAACAGACTTGCTGACATTTGATGGCACTTTTTGGAGCTCATTTGTTCTTGCTGTTATGGCTAGTGTTTTGGATTGGGGTTGTCCCTTTCATAAATATTTTCATATATTATTTAGTTTTGCCTGATATGTTTCTATATGGATATTTTTAGGATTAGTAAGAATTTTTAAGATTGCATTTCTAATTGTTTAGCTGCTTGATGGAATTAGAACTTCTCCGTAGCTAATGAATAACATTGTCACATGAGTGTTTCAACAAACTGTCTTTCTTTCAAAATGGTATAGAAATTGTTCCTTAGTAGCAATAAAAGTACAATGTATAGTAATTATGTGATTTTTAATTTTTTTTAATGAAGTAATGTTTTTTTATTTTAACTTGCAGGAAGCACAGGCTTATGCAGATGACAACAGCTTATTGTTCATGGAGACGTCTGCCAAAACATCTATGAACGTAAATGAAATATTCATGGCAATTGGTGAGTTTATGAACAAACTAAGAACTTAAAAAGAATTTTTTTCATGAGATGCAGACCATTGCAATCTTCCTAACCCAAGGTCTTCGTTTTTAACCTGAATTATTTCTGGCACTGAAGTTTCTTTAGGACCTTTTATTTGTTTAATTTTGTTTAGGTAGCTGTCTGAAATCCAAAAGTTGTGCCAAAGATGGCGATGCGTGCTTAAATTCACTGTCCAAGTAATATGTAAAGGATGCTGCATATGAAAAGTAAATTTACTAATAATTTTTAGACCTCATATAATCTTAAGGATTTCTGTAAAGTTGCCGATGTGTAATAGTAAGTATAAATTATTAAGAAATTTTGTGTATTCCATTGATATAACCAAAATTGTATTTAATTGTTGATGAACTTTTGAAAGGGGAGGAAAAAGAATACATTTTAGGCCAGTCACTAACCTGTTAAATAATAACCTTAATCACAGTAGGAGCTCTGCCGCTCAGTAATAGTAATTTATAGCATCAAATAATCTCATTAAACTGTTTTGTATGTTGCACCATGGTGACCTCTCCAACCTGCTTTTTGTGGAAAAAAGTCATTGCTGTTAAAATGAAATGTTTCTAAAGAGCTCTTACCCTCTGCTTTTCAAGTCAGGAAAGCAGAAGATAATTTGTGATGTACTTCAAACTTCCAGTAGATGCGAATTAAATTATCACTATAGCAACACTTTATAACAAGTACGTCCTTCATATTAACTATAAATACTTGGGGAGGGGGGACGGACACAAACACATAACTGTATGAGAGGAAAGTATATTCTTCTCATAATTGTTCAAGGTAGGCCTGCATTTAATGATACAGAAATGTTCAATTGCACCATTCTGGTGAAATTTCAGAATTAACGTGTTTAATGATGCAGTTTGCATCCTGTTTAAAAAAAAAACAAACTGAATCACCAAATATGTTTGGGTTGTTTTTTTTTTAATTTGGTATATCAACAATAATTCTTACCTCTCCATATTGTAATGAAGTATACAAAGTGACTTTGAGGAAAACAATGGCTAACTAATAACTGGGTATTTTGTCTGCAATGTTGTTTGGCCATGTGAGTATTCTTTTGCATCAGTGGGGTGAAATTCAGCTTTGTCAGTGCATCAGAACAAGATCTATGCAACAGTGGACTCTGGAAGGAAATCTTGGAGGCTATGAGTATTGCATGGAATTTGGAATAGCCTGCACAACATGGTGCAGTTCTCAGGACCATGTGTAAATACAATCTTCAAAACTGGGAGAAAATGGAGAAATGAGAACGCTGACAGAACTGTGGGATGCAAGTTACAGCTGCTTGTAAATTGATTGCTTTAGAGTTTGTTCAAAACTTTCAGTTAAAAAAAATGTTAACTGAGTTCTAGATACAGTTAGAGAATTCAAAATGATAGTGCTCTGAAGGCATTTTTCTACTGGTGCTTTGTCCTTCTGTGCTGTCTCAGCAGCTTAGTACCATGTGAATTCTTGGGTTTTATCACAGAATTGTAGAACAGCCCAAGTTGGAAGGGACCTCAGAAGATGCCTCTAGTCCACCCTTTTGTGGGAAAGGGAGTCTAGATTACTTAGCACCCTGAGATTATCTAGCACCACAGCACATTGTTGATGTTTGCTCTGCTGTTTTTTTCTGGCTGCATTTTGTTCCTTTCAGAAAAAGCTGTTCTTTAAAAGGCTGACCAAACTAATTACTTTGGAGTGAAAGCACATGCAACCAAACTGTAGAACAGGAGTGGTTGCTGGGTCCCAGTTCATTTGCAAGACAGGCCCATGGAAATCCTTTTATGGACTTTTATAGTTAAAATAAGCAGTTTTCTGATGGAAGAAATCTAGGAGAAGCTACTGCTCAGAAAGGTAACAGTTGTCACCCTTATTTTTCATGTCAGGACTGAGAGGGTACCTTGGAGCTACAAAGGCAACAAAGAAATTATCAGTCAATTGATTCATAGGAGCTGGAGAGAAGAGACAGCTTGAAAAAAATAAGAGAGGCTTGATCTGGTGCTGGCGCCACTTATATGTTGTATGCAAATCCTTACTCTGGCTAGATATCTGGGAACTAGTTTGACCCATTTCTGTCTGTGTTTGGTGCCTTTTCAGTGTTTCTGTATCTTTTCTCACTAACATCCTGTTCCATGTGGGTGGATTCCCACAAGAGCTGTCATTTGCTGGCATAGCACACCTGTGCAGATATATTTTACTGCTCAAGTTACTAATGCTTTTGATGCTTGGAAATCATAGATAAGGGAGTTAATCATTGAGAAGTTAAGTGTCTTAACTTCTTTCATTACCAATGCAGTGAATCAAATCCAATTATATGGTGAGTATACTGATATGCTTATAGAGTAATAATGTGTTGACTTTGTGTACTCAGGTGATTTAATCTTAGTAAAATCTCAGTTTAACTCTTATATCCTGTTCATCTTACAGCAAAAAAATTGCCCAAGAATGAACCACAGAACGCAGGAGCCAGCTCTGCCAGAGGAAGAGGAGTAGACCTTACTGAACCCACACAACCACCCAAGAGTCAATGTTGTAGTAACTAAAAGATCAATTGCTTTAAACTGTTCTGAATATTCTTCTGCTTCCTAACTGTTAATAACCATGGAATTGGAGTGCTTAACCTGGTCCAGTACAGCTTCCCAACAGCGAAGAGACTTATGATAATAGTCAAATTCATGATACAGAGTTTTCTTTTGATGTAAAATTTTAACATGCATGTATCCACCACTGGCTATAATGTTTCAGCAGTAGAGGAGAGACGAAGGGACATAAACTTCCTTCAGTTGAAAGGTTTTAAAAATCAGTTGTTATTAGGAGTGTAGAAGAACTGCTCTCTGTGGACTTAATTGGCCAGTTCCTGTAGCCTCAATACTGATCACTGTTATAATAAATAGAATTGGGTCTTTTCATAATTCTCAATTGTGCTTTAAAACCCTTTTAGAAACAGGGTCTAAAAATTACTTAAAACTTCTCTGAAGTATTGATGCAACCAGTTGTTTCTGCAGGTATCCACTATTTAGTTATACATTCCATAGTTTAATAATTTAATTACAAATAATACTTGCATTAACAATTTTAAGAATCCTTTGCTTGCCAGACAGTGGAGTTTTAGTTGGTACACTGTATGTAAATTATATCAACCCAGTTAGTTATCTTAATGAATTAGTGATGAATCAAGTTTAACTTAATTTCTAATGTTTTCAGAGGGTACAGACCAGTAAATTCAATTCTATGACTTAGGATATGTTTGGTTTTTTTTCCTCTACAAACTGTAAGAGCTCTTCAAGTAAAACCACAACAAACTCGGTGTCTGTGACTTTTCTTGTTTCTGATCATTGCTGGCCATTACAGTTTGTTTTTCCCCTAAGGAAAAAAATAGTGCACTAACGATTATGTACATCCAACTTGATTTTAAATTTGGATATTAATGTACTGTAAATAGGTACTCTGCATTGTAGTCTACATTTGTTTAATACTTTCTGTAATATTTAAGAGTTGCTTAAAGGTATACAGAATGTACAGTTACTTAAAGCTAACTTTTTTCCTCTCTAATCAAAGGGGGTTCTGAGTTCTTCCTTTATGGCTAGAACAGTAATAAATGATGCTCCTGTATCTGTAACATAAGTACTGCTGTCTGTCAGTAATGAACTTTGCAACTTTGTTTTCCAAAGTACATTTTATTTTGATCAGTCCAGTATATTGCACTAATTCTTTTAGTTATTTTCATTATATGAAATCTACAAAGTGTGTCAGAAGAGATGAATTAGTCTATTTAAATGTTGAACTGATAGAAACTTACTTGTGCAGATTTAAAATTTGCAGTAATCTGGGTTTAGCAAGGAAAATGACAGTTCACCAGTGTTTAGTTTTATATTGAGGTGCTCAGGTTTGAATAAAGTGGTTTAAAAAAATTTCGATTACTGTTTCTTATTGAGAGTTTCAGATGGTTTTATTGCATTTGTACAGTTCAATGCGCTTGCAACAAACATGGGTAGCGCCCTTCCCAAATCTTAGTTTGCAAAGCCCAGCCATGACAGTTCCAGACAAGATGTCTGATTTACTGAATGGGTCAGCATTTAAGATGATTACAAGTAAATTCATGACACAGCTAAATATAAGCCTGTCTTATATATACTCTGGCACTTCAGCTATTTTTAAATGTTGAGGTAATTGGGTATCTTATCACATCCATATAGAAATACAATCAAAACAGTAATATTATCTCTTGAACCTGAAGCTAATGCAGTTTTTGCCAGTTTTTCCCTAACGTAGCTTATTGCATTGTTGTAGTGTCTCAGAGCTGTCTATGCCTCTTCCTGCAGCTGATGATTTGCAATTGGATGGGTGCATTTTTGTATCTTTTTCAAACTGGTGTTGGTTTAGAACCCACTGGTTATACAGACTTCAGCAGGTCTTGACCAGCATCACTTGCGGTTTGTCACAAAATACATCAAAGTCCATTTTTTCTGCCAGCTGTGGGCTTGAGTCACAATTAGCTGGCACGTTTTTCTATCTTTTGAGGTCTGTTTCATGACTTTAGACCCTCTTGCCACTGCATTCTCTGGCAGATGTTTATGGCTGCGAGTTGGACCTGTTGCACAGAAGGCAACAGTTTCTTCTTGCTCTGAAGTCTGTCACTGTGGATGAAAACTCATACATGAAATTTTCTGTCCTCAAACTGAGTTCTTCAGAACTACCTTGTATGCTAGAATTGGAGTGGTTTCTCTCTGTTCTTTGAATTTATTTAATTGCTGCTGAAAAGAGACAGCTCTAAATTAGCTTGTGTTTTGTGTTTTTTGGTTGGTTGGTTTTTGTGGGGTTTTTTGGGTTTTTTGTTTGGTTTTTTGGGGTTTTTCTTTTTGCTTTTTTGGGTTTTTTTTGTTGGTTGGTTTGGTTTGGGGTTTTTTTTTTGTTGTCAGTTTCCTTAGGAACTCCATCTTTGTGTGTAGTTCCTCCTAGAACATTTTCATTTATTTTGTTTCAGATTGCCTTTTGAGTTACTGTGGAAAATATCTTTATTGGAATACAATATCTGTATTCCATCTTGCAGATTATTAATAGCATTTGAGTCATTTAGGTTGTCTTCAGTGAGGGACATTGAATACTGACACACGGAGAAGTCCTGTTTCATCGAACACCATTCATGCGTTCTCAAATAAGGAGTGGATGTTGTTAGAGGTGGTGCCAGTACTTCATTGTAATACAAAACCTCCCAAAACCCTTTAGAAGCCAAAATAAGAAACTGCTAGGTACAGATATAATATGAGTTACAGGTATAACAGATGTTCTTTTTGTTGCATCTCTGTGATGTCCAGGAACCCTTGTAGTTCTCAGGTATCCCTCTACTAATCCATCTGGTGTATTAGTGCTGGTGTTTCCACCGTTCTGAAGTGTTTTCTCTCATGAGTGCTGTGCTCTTTTGAGAGGCAGTGACTCCTTCCATTTTTGGATTGGACTCCTTCCATAAGATTCCATATACATCATCTAAAACTGAAATACTTTTAATATAGCATACTGTTGGGTTTTATTAAGATACTGCTATTACAGAGTAACAGTCTTTTGTTAAGGACCAGGGAAAAAAACTGAGATCATAGTTGAGTAATCTACTGCCACAGGCAATAATATGTCCATCAGTGAATCTGGTTCTGTTTTACAGCAAAGTTTTCTGTGATTTTTTTATATTCCATTATTAGAAGACTGTTTCAGAATCTTATTCTCCTGACTGCAGATAAACTCTTATGAGGAGTCTTAAGTGATGTTTTATTCAGCTTAAAGTGCAGTCTGATAGAAAAGTTGCACCTTGATTGGTTTTTGAGCAAGAGTGCGTATTTTTTTCAAATATTTTCACTCCTATGAGAGTGTGTGCTTTCAAAATATTATGGCTGAATGAACTCATCAGGAAGCTCCAGGTTCAGACTGTTTCTAGCAGCATATAATTTTTAGTACTGAAAAATAATTTGGATATGGTGTAGGATTTAGTTTACTAACATGATGCCTTACATCTCTTCCTTGGTTAAAATACCCAAGGGAGCAAGAGTTCTAGCAGTCATCATAGGAAGTTGAGGTTCTTTCCTTTAGCAGGCATAGGTATTTTAACTTTCCCTCAACACTCCTGAAATCTGAGAATTTAAAAGTGTTAGAAATTCCAACACTGCAGGGGGCAGGTCTTGTCAGACTTGAATGAAGAGCATGAAGGAAAGAGCTCCAACCCAAAGTGCTGTATTATTTGAGATCCTCTATGGCTGCCCTGGGAGACCATTTTTTATGTCAGAGGAGGTTATTGGTCTGCTCTCATGTGTTGGCTTAAGGGCAAAAGTGATGTCTTACAGAAAGAGCTTGAGTGAGATAAGTGGTACCTTTCTAGACATGAAGCTGGCTGCAGTGTGTTCATTTATGTTGTACTTTTAATATCTACCTAGACTAGGGGCACAGACCTCTGAAAAGTGTGTATAAGTAGGCATTGCTTATACAATAGTAGTGTTCCTTGAGCAGTATTGGCAGTCTAGTGTAGGAGACAGCTAAGTGTAGTCTGTGTGAAGGCAGATTTCTCTTGAAAGTGATTCAGAATATCAAACTGAAGGACACACCTTTGATTAATTATACAATGTAGATACCTTAAGTTGTGCTCCATGAATGTTTCCTTGTGCTTGCTCCCCTCTCCTTCCTCTGATTTCTGTGGAGAGCTAGAAAAATGTGTAAAATATCCTTTGAACCCTTGGAATAAGACCACCAGCTGTAAGCCTAACAAGGAGCCTAATATAACCTATGTGGAACAATTTGACTGCAAAGAGTAAAATCTAGTTGCTTTTGGATGCAAGTCTTGTCAGCAAACCAGAGACACCAAAAGAATCAACAAAACCTAACTGGCCTATCAGTGTGGGACTAAATGAAGACAGAGCTGGCCAATGTCACCCTCTCCCGCTCTGTGTGTCTGACCATCCTCTTCAGTTGCTTACCTGGAGCTGAAGGAACATGTCTCTACTTATGTAAGAACACACTCTTGGGGTCGATGTTGTGCAAATCTTTTTCTGTGGTATGATACCTTTGGTGGAAAATTAAGTTTATTAAATTAATGTGGTTCAAAAATGTGGGTTTTAATCATAAAAGGTTTAAAGTATCTCTGATCAACTTCAAACCTTAATTCATTATCAGATCTTGAGTTTATAGTATCTGTAATTGCAGCCAGCAATTAAATTTTTAGGTAGGGATGGATGGAAGCAGGTAGCAAAACCAAGAAGAAATTTGGTAGAGAATTCACCCAACCCAAGTTATCTTCATCAGTCTCTTTGGAATATAAAGTGGTTTTCTTTCACAACAAGGTGGAAACAAATGCATCTGAAAACAACCTTGCAATCTTAATGTGAGTTAATTCTGTATTCTGCTACAGGGCTGTGACTGCATCTCCTGAAAGTAATAGAGCTAGGGCTAAACTACCAGTTTTGATACCTGTAACAGTGAAGTTCATATAGTTGCAAAAAGCTTGTTGGAAGTACAGTGCGGCTATAGTAACAAGCATTGGGAGAATAGTGGGAGGGGGGATATACCACATACAACACACTAGTTGCATGTTCAAGGAGCAACAGTGTTTCTCAGACTGCCAGAGGAATGCAATTACTGTTAAGCAGAAGTATTTTTTTTATATATGGAATTAGTTTTTCCAGATGTGGAATATGATAATTTTTTTTTGCCTCCTAAAAACAGTGAAGCCTCTCAAATGGTTCTCCCTTTTCTTATTGATCTTTGACCTTCTTGATAAATTTCAGTCAACTTTCATATGCAGAAACAGATGCAGTATCTGCTCACTCCTTACTAATGCCAGGCAGAGTGATAGAAAAGTAGTATAGAGCTGGGCAAGTGCTTCAAGCAGAGACTGGAAGACACTACAGAATGTAACTGTAGACACAAATCCATTTGAAACTATTCACCCACCTGCTTTTTTACATAATTCTGTGTTTGCACTCCTTTGTGGGAAAGCAAGCATCTTGCCTGTAATCTTACAGCTGTCTTATGACCACAACAGGATATAATTGGTAATAAAAATCACCAGGTGGGAAAGATACAGTAACCAGAGTTGCTAGTCTGCAAGAGCTCTGTCTAGTGTTGGCTGCAGCAGGGGTGCGTGGAGAAGCATTAAGGATGTATCAGTGTTTCTGACTGTAATTAATAAATGATTTCCTATACTAAAGAAAGGCAAAGCAATGTCCTCCTTTATAAGAAAACATGTCTGAATAGATCTTCCACAACAACAGTAAAAGCCAACCAATGCCTATTTCAGAAACTAGTAATTCAGATGATTCCCTCAAAATATGTTTTCAGTTTGCTTGTAGCAAAATGTGGTGGCACTTAGTCCAATGAAACAAATTAATAAAAATAATATCTTAAGCGTGTTTCATTGATATTAGGAATTTATCAGATCTAAAATCAGAAGATTTGTGATTGACTGCCATAAAGCGATGACAACCTAAACCCCTTGATATAAAAGAAACCACTCTGTATTTTCTTACAGAAGTCACTTGTGTATTGTGGAATGCTTCCTAACTTTTACATTAGTAAATTGATTTTGCTGCCTTAATTCAAATATCATGCTTAGGCAACTTATCTAATAAGCTGAATACTATTGTCTGATAGCAGTATCAGTTGCAAGGGAGTTTATCACATCTGCTTTACATTGTCAAGCTAAAGGAATTGCTGCTTTTTATCTCCAGACACTGACTGCCAACAAACATCTAGGTTAGCTAATACTTTCTTTTGTTGCATGAAGGGAAAAAAAATTCTGGTGTGTTATGTACATACCTATAAATAGCAAAGTACAGTGGTCCAGCAACACCTTTGGCCCTTCTGCCTAATGGACTGTGTTATTTTCACAATGTTTTCTTTCTTCTACCTCAGTGCCATCTGTCTCTTTGCTGGGAATGCTTTCCACCAAACAGGTAACCACTGAACAGCCACTCCAGTGAGCTTTGGAAACCTGATTTCTTCCCAGTTGTAAAAGTCTCTGCATTCTCCTAAAGGGCTTGGCATACACTTTGTGAATCCATTTGTAAGGACTGGTCATCATCTTGGTCTCCTCATTGCCTGGCTTGTCAGAGAATATCTTCTCTTTTTCCTTGTAATCTGCCTTAATTACTGTGGAAAAAAAACCCCTACAATTTGCACTTTGTCCTTCTTATTTTTGTAGGAGGAACCTATTTGAGAAAGCTGATCAAGAAATAAAAGTGGAAGCTCTGCTGCAACTGTTTCTGCAGCTGTCACACTGTGACAGCCATCAAGAATTTCCAGAAAACATGTATCTGACCTATTTCCATAGTTGTCTGGTGCAATAAACCTATCTTTGTGTCTCCTTGCCATGTGGGATTTTTATCTTTGCAAATTGGTAAAGCTTTTATTAAAGAATTATTTACTTTCTTAAAAGGACCAGGATTGTTGATATTAGCAAGATCACAATATTAAGTGGGAGTGGAATTCAAATGAATAATCTTCTGCTTATCTGTGTCAGAAAATTTAGGAATCTAGAATTTAGGTACTGCAAGGACTTCATAGGGTCTAATCAGCACAAGCCTGTCTGCCCATTCTCCAGCCGAAGCTCGTACATTCTTCCTATCCCTATGCACCTCTGTTTTTTAAATTTAAGGTCCTTGCTCCAATCTCCCTCATCAGCTCAGTCTCCTTCACCTCACTCTACATCTTTGATGCTGTCTCACTATTCCTAGGTCTGGCTGCTGCAACCCCAGGAGTCAGAGCTATAAGAGTAACTCCTAGTGAGGTGCTTCCTGATAGAGGCCAACTGGTGCAGAGGGGACTGCCCAAATTCAGCACCTGCACACTGGCATGTCTCTACTTGGCATGGGCAAACTGATGCTACTTTTTAAATATTTTAACTTGTTCTGATTTGGGTAAATTGATAAGAGTGACAAAAGATGCACTGCTGATGCCATTTCAGCCAGATTGCCAATCTGTAGTTTAAAACCTGATGATCTTGGACATTCTCTAGAAAATAATCAAGATTTTGGTTTAATACACGCAGAACAACGTATTTTCCAAATCATATTCTCAGAAACAGCTGAACCATATTATCTAGGATTTTTTCAAATTTTTCTGCTTCAGGCTTGGAAAATTCTAATATGAGCTGCTTCTTGCATTATATGCTCTCACTCTAAATCAGCATGTGACATACGTGTACAGACACCATAACAACACAGAGTCCTGACACCATGTGAGCAGCTCAGCTTGCCAGCCTATATATCATCTATCTACTAAGTATGAAAACATAGTGTTTACATTCAAGTTGATTAAGTTTATTTTTTAGGATTAAGTATTTATGTGTGTATATATGAGAAATATCAGACAAAAATCCATAGGTTTCTCTCATCTGAGATTTTTGTTTCAGTTAATCTTTGTTAACTGCTGTTAATCCATTGCCAGGGTAAATAACAGTAGTTTAGCAGCAGAAATTTGTCACAGCCACGTTACAAGAGCAGCCTTTAGTAATTTCATCCTACTTTAACCTCATCCATTTACCAGGGTTCTCTCTTTGCACTTGATACAGCCACACCTGAATAACCTGAATTTTGCAGCTGTTGTCTCTTCCAGGATTTCAGCTAGGAAGTACATTTTCCTCTGTCTCACTAATTCTGTTCAGTGCCTGGGTATTGTAAGCATTTCTGCAGTTTGTGTTTCAACATGTGCACTCTTTCCTGTGATGACATTTGTTTGATAAAATTTCATGGTAGTCAAAGCCCCAACCTCCTCCAACACCTCCTCCAACATCTTAAAGAATCAAGTGCCTCTGATCAGTGGAGGTAGATCAATTATAACATTTTAAAAGGAAAATCTCTTTTGTAGAGGGTGAACAGTATTAGCAGAGCCACTTAAAAGCCCCTCATGACTGCAGTATACTTTATCCTTGCAGAGGTGGCTTGCTGGTGGCTATGGCTCTCAGTCTGCTGTAGGACAACTTTATGGGAAAGTCCATCTCTCAACAAGAGGTAAGCATCAGCCTCCTTTAAAAGTGCTGCACCATTTCAGCAGGACAAGATAAGGAGGGACATGGTTAAAAAAGCAGCAGAAGATAGGCTTGTGTAGAACTCTTTTTTTTTTTTTTTATTCTGCATAGTTTGAATTTGAGACTGGGAGGCAGCAAAAGCCTTTTCACTGCTGTCATTATGATGATCCATTCAGGCCTGAGAAAAATTAGGACAAATATATAGAGAAAGTCTGGTAAGCTGTTTTTTTGTCTTTTAAATGTGATTCCATTTTACATTTAGTGTATATAAAACCCCCTTGGATTAGAGAGAGCAAAATGATAGTTTGACCTTAGTAAACTTAATTCTTAACACTCCCACACATTTTATAGATGTTTGTATCTCCATAAATGGTGTAAGTGCTAGCAAATCACAAATTTCAAAGCCTCAAAACAGTCTCAGTTAATTACAATGTGTAAATAACCAGGATAATATACATAATAATTCATGTAACAAGATATGCTACAAGTCTTCAGTTGTAATAAATCTGCTTATAATTATTAAAAGGGCAACCCCGATACTTTTTTATACTATGCATAAATTGCTTATGTTAATAGCTGAAAACCTTGTAAAAATAGAATAAAAAATGAAACATTTCCTTTGTTGATCTCTTATGAAGTAAAAAGATTAGTCTGTGTTTCCTTCTCTCCTTGCATTTCCCTCATTAGGAACAGATACAGACTCAGAGGATTTTGCTGTCAGGTTAAAGGATAACAGTGAGTTATTGAAAGCACAATACACAAAGCTAAAGCGTTCTAGCCTCAGAGAGTGAAAGATAAAATTCAGCTTTCTAGCTCACTGCAGTTTCCCTGTGCCTATTTAGGGAGCCAAAATCCAACACAGTTTAATGTTCTGAGGTGAAAATAGAAGCAGATAAAAAGAAATTAGATGTAGAAGAATGGGGAGCAAACCGCAGTTTGAGACTGTACATATTTTCAAGGGCAAAAAATTGCATTTACTCTTTGTGTTGTAACAAAGAGCCTCTTGGTCAGTGCTTAATCCTGCTACTCAGAAAGGAAGGCTGCTCCACCTCTGTCATACGTTGGCCTGTCTATAACAGGGGCAGAATGGAAGCAGAGCACGAGGCTTACATGGCAGAGGATACCGTTGTCCCAGTAAATCTCATATTTCTGGAAAACCTTTCTAACTACGACACTTGGAGCTGCTTGCTGTTAATATGGTAAGGCAAGATTATTTTCTGCTTCTGCAGTTTGGCACTACAATCTCATTTTTTAATTAGTGAAGATGGAATATGTCCCTGAGCTTTGAGGATCCAGGATCTGATTTGTATCCAAACAGAAGAGTCCCATATGCAGTTATCTCTCTCTAACACATCATTCCTATCTCCACCCACAGAGTGCTTCTTCCTCACTTACCTTTGGCACTATCAGAACTTAACTTGCCCAATCTCTAGTTGTGAACTTCTTCCTCTGTGAGTTTTGTGGGTTTTATTATTTGCTACATATTTGTGGTCTTAGAAAATGGTGCCTGTTACTGATGCTGAAACCAGCACTGGAAAGATGCCTGCCTGCCAGCCTTCCTGTGGGTGACAGGAAGAGGCAGAGAAGGGCTGTGTGATATAAATGAAGGTCACAGTCTCCCGAGTATCTAATCACACTATTATCAACTAGTACGTATAAACAGGCCTCGCTGCTGCAAATCCCTGCTGAATGAGCATCAGCTTCTTTGCCTGTCTTTTCCTTCTTCCCTGCTTTACTTCTTGCTCATGCCTCAGCCAGCGCTTCCTTTTCAGTCCTGTTTTCCCCATGTGCCTGTGATGCCAGGATATGGGTTCGTTGCCTCCAGGTGTTCAGCCCAATTCCTCTCCTCTTACTGACCTCCCTTCCCTCTGCCCTGTCACACAATTTGGCAGTGGCACCTCCCCGGAAAACTGCTTGCAAAAGCATCACACCCACTTACAGAAACCACGATGGGGACTCCTAGCGTTGCCAGGACTGTCTGTCCCTGAGCTGCAGCACGCCTGACACCATCAGCACCTGCCAAGGAGTCACCGTGTAAGGCGGCAGCATTTGCCTGGTGCAGCTCGGCTGTGCTGTGCAGTGCGTGCCCAGTGGCACAGTCAGAGCCAGCCTCTGTTTTGCAGGTGCTGCCTTAGCAGGTCCCAGCTTTATGTGGATACTTTTGGCCGAAGCAGCAAAGAGCAAATATGTTATGTGAAAACCCTTATGTAGCCTTTCTTAAACTCATATAAGACCTCTGAGAAACTCTTCACCTGAAAAGATGAACTCACTTGCTAACTCAGTAGCTATGCCCTATACCTTTCACTACTTTTAGAAGACCTGGCCCTCTTGTTCTCTAAAACCATCTGCAGAGGGAATGGTGCAGAAGGAACAAGACATCTTCTCCCAAGTGAGTCAACTTAGATATGCATAGTATAGCCTACTTACTGCATCCCCAGAAGCAACAATGCAGTTTCAAGAAAATCTAGTTATGAAAGGTGTGGGAAGAGATAAAGACTAACCTGGTGAGTCATGGGAGCATGCCACAGGCAGAGCCTGCATTCAGGACTTGGGAACAGTCCTGCCTCTAGACCTGATGATAGGCAAGAAAGAAGGAAGTGATTAATAATTAAAATAATTATGGAATAAATTAAGATAATTAGTCTCCTTATTTATCTTCCTAAGTGTTGTCCAAAACTATAATCTTGGGATTCCAGGCCCACTGGTTTTGTGTCATCCTATAAAATAAGAGTCGCCATCATTAGGTCTTCTTGGACAAGAGTTATAATTTGTGACGCTGTCCGCTTGGGCAGAGATGCAGCTGCTCAGCTGGGAGGAAGCATCAGACTGGGAAATGGGAGTAGCAAAACAATTGCAAACCTAGTTCTGTTTACACTCCAGATATTTAGCAGCTCTTCCTTGTAGATGGGTGAGTCTTGGTGGGGCAAAGGTAATAGTTTGCAGCCCACCAAGTGCCTGTGTTAGGCAGAGAGGCAGTGAAGCATTGAGTGGGGATGACAAGCCTGCTGGCCTTGCCATGGGAGGGGAGGTACATGAGGTTTTGGAGATACTCAAAGAGAAAGCTGTGGCAGAAAGTGGAACATGGGTGAAGACAATGTAACTGTGCCTTTTGCATTCCCAGTGACATCCTGTCTCCCTCACCTCACAAACCCACATCTGGGGTTGCTGCCGTATTCCTGGGATTCCTCTATTTTTTTCAGCTGTACACAGCACTATTACAGTTGATCTAAATGGAGATTTTTTAACCTGTTTAATTTCTTCTGCTTGGCCAAGCTGTGGAGCTTGAGGTTGTGTTCCCAGTTCCTAGGGTTTCCAGTGCCCTTGCACACTGATATGGGGAAGGCCCATGACTGGGTTTGCACAGTTAGATGTTCTTAGGCCACTGTAACTTCATCTTATAGAAATAATAGGAATTTTCTATGCAGAGTTTTGTTATCTAAATTGGTATCATATTAAGGGTGCTGGCTGGCAGCTACTCAGGTGCAGGTAGCAAAAAGGAGGTCCCTTCCCTCTCACCTCTGCCAGCAGAGCCTGTGCCAGTCTCCTGGTGGTCTGTCAGGCTTCCAGCAGCAAATGACCTGCCCTACATAGGAATGGGGTGGTTTGCAAAACTGTCAGAGCACAGGCAGTCAAAGTATGCCAAGTGGGGGCCCAGAGAATTGTGGAGATCTCTACCACAAATAAAGAAGAAGGAAGAACAGAAAAATATGTTAGAGAAAGGAATCAACAAAAGAATTGTGGGGAGTCAGAGGAAAGAGAAGGTAAGGAAAAAACAGATAGTATATCCCATGTTTGTATAAAGCAATCCAGAGCTCTCAGTACCATGAAATAACAGTGTCAGCCTATGTAGTAACTGCTGATAGCTAAATAACTTTAACAAACAGCTTCTGAACTTGACACGCACAATTCACATTGAGCAAAGGCACAAGTGACTGTCCTGTGTTGCATGATTCAGTTTTCTCACCTGGTTTGTGCTAAACCAAAACTCTGACTGCAGTCAAGAAGAGCATCTTCTGTGTAAGAAGCATATAAAAACTGCTAAATGCTCCATTACTAACAAGAAGTTTGTGTGACTGAAACAGCCCTGAGTGTTGCAATGACATTTTTTCCATTTATTTTCCCTCTTTTTTTCCTTTAAAAACTGGGTAATTGGGGTGTGGGGTTTCCTATGACAGACAAAAGCCTAATGGGAAGGTCTGCCATCTGCATTATTAAAGTCACATGTTAGCGCCATGGGAAGCAGATGAGGTGCTAGAGACAGCATAATGAACAAAACCTTTGCACTGTTAATACTACCAGTGATTCATAAGATACTGATAGTAGTCCTGAACGCGTGGTGGCCAAGAGGGAGGTCACTTCACCCATTAGGAATGCGCTAATGAAAGGACACAATAGGATTTTATTCTCATAGAAATTCCCTGGAGGAGAAAGAGATGCACTTTGCATTGAATGGCAAGAGTAAAAGCAGGTAGGAGCACTGGAAGAGAGACCCATCTTGAATAAAAAGGGAGACAAGGCTGGGTTGGGCACACTGGATCTGACCAGGCTGAGAGGCAGGGATGAGGGGTAGAGGTGGGCTCCCAGAGCTCGGCTGCAGGCTGGGTGGTCCCTGTCAGAGAGGTAGCATTCAGCATTAGGCTGCTATTAGTTGAGTAATTTTTTTTATTTATATGAGCAAGATAGGCCCCAAAAGCCCTAAATGACAACCAGGTAATAACCAGGAGTCTGGTACACCCTAAACAGCATTTTAATTTCTCTTTTGTGACTCAAGAATGCAACCTTTGATGGAATAATAATAACAACACATACTCTTGCATTTAAGCCTGTCAGGTGTTCACAGGGAATTTGTGCGGGAGCAACAAACATGAGATTCGCCTGTGATCTGCTGGGAGCAAGGGCTCTGAGCAGGCACCTCCTCGGGGCTATAAGTAACCTGAGAGAGACCTGAAACCCACAAGAGCTGGGACTTGTGTCTCACCCAGCTCCTGGTTTACTTAATTTGATGTGGATGAGTTGTCTTCCTGATGTCACCTGGCTACTCACCTGAGTTTGCCGGCTGAGCAACACAGGCAGGCCAAAGGCAGCCAGGATCACCCGCTCCCACCAGGACTTCCTAATGTGGGTTTCAGAGTCAGCTCAACTTGTGCAAACCCACTGATATGCCCCAAAGGACAAAAACTGAAAAAGATGGCAAGGGCTTTTCAGACAATGCTTTGAGTTTTAATCTAATTTAATATCTTCATAGTGCATGTTAAATGATAAAAAGCAAGCAACAAAGGAATTGTGTGGTGCTCAGATTTATGCACGTATTATAATTAGAAAACTAGTATGTGCTCTGCTTGTGAATTCAGCCAACAGAAAAAGCCAGCTTGGATATGCAATCAACAATGACATGTGTCCACTCATATGTCAAAGCATAGGCTTGTTTGTTTGTTTGTTTGTTGTTTTGTTTTTTTCCTACTGTAATGCAACCTGTTGTGACCTAATTGCATTCACTGGAGCCACCACAAGTCAACATAACCCAAGTTATAGTCCCACATTTCCAGACAGCAAATGGTCTTTTCACTCCTTATTCTTGCCAAAATTGTGAACGCAACATTTTACCTTTCACTGGAGCAGTTTAAGACAAAGTCAAGCTTTTTTTCTTTTTGGTTTTAAAAATAAATTTGCACAAAGTTAGAATGTGAGCAATGATTTAAATTAAATTTAAAGTTAAAAAAAAAAGAAAAATATTTACCTATATGCAGCTAAAGAGTGATTTCTTTCTAAGCTGCTCCTAGCAGGCAGCAGTTCTGCATGTGTAGTGACATTAGTGTTTATAAATGTTACTATAGTAACTGTATGTGTAGTCACAGACTGGTAGACTTACTGCTCTGGTTATCTGGTGAGCAACAAGGTATAATGGAAAAAAAAGAGACACAGCCATGCTCTGGAGGATTCAAGAAGGAACTGCAGAAAAAGTATTTTTTTGCCTTTATACCAACCAGTGCCTTACTGTGTGCATTACGGCAGTGTTTTTCCCATTAGAGCCTCATAAACACACCATAAAATGTAAAGAAACATTCAGGCATTTAAACCAAAGTCAGTATCTGCTTCCTAACAACTTTCATATTTAATTCTACTTTAATGGAAGCAATAAGTTTTCAGGCTTTTAAGGACCCTGAAGAATGAATGAGGTGAAAGAATAAGGTTATTCACCTGTGTAGCTTCAGACATAAATGCCTGCAAGTTGCCTTAATGAACATCAGTGGAGTTACTCACCTGTGGGAAAACAGTAAAGGTATTTTCAGCATCAAAATTTATAATTTATTATATGCAAGTGTGCAAACAACGCTGGGTTAAATATCATTAATTAACTGGTTAAAGGAGAAGCTGATAATTTGGGGGGGGGAAACAAACAAACAAACAAAAAACGTCAGAGGAGATTTAAAGGCTACAGCAACTCCCAGAAAAAACAGGAGCGTATGTTCAGGCGTGGGTATTAAGTGGTCCATTGGAGCCAGAGTATTGTTACAGATGCGCTCTTTGCTCATAACATTTGCTGCCGAGGAGGAGTCGTGGGAAAGCTGAAAGTGAAACTAAGCAGAACAGTTTCATTTTCAACTCCGAAAGTAGAAACCTGAACGGCATAAAAAAATGCAAAGAACTTCTTAGGTAGCTGCTACCATACAGCGGCTATTTGTTCTTTTAAAACATGATTCGGACACTTAAAAAAATTACAAGGATAATTCTTAAATTTCAGAGAAACTGGATTTTTTTTATTACGTTTGATTTGCTGTCAAGCTTGGGGCAGTAACCGCCAAGGGCAGCGGCTCCTCCACCTTAAACAGTCCGTCTTAAAGCAGCGGGGATGGCAGCAGCCATCTTACGGGTCGCTGTCACAGCTGCTGGGAAGCCCGAAGCCAGTCTCGACCTCTGCCGAGGGCTCCCCGGGGTACCCCGGCTCCAAGGAGCCCGTAGTGGAGGCCGGCGAGCAGGTCCCGACTCCCACCCGCATCAACACTGTTGATTTTAGGACCTCAGCAAAATAAAAATATTAAATAAGTAAATAAAGGAAAACAACAGAACTCCACCCCCACCCCCACCCCATTTCATGAAATATTGTAGCACTTCACTCCATTTTTTCCTATCGTTTAATGAAAGTGCAAACTCGCCGTATAAACGTATCTCCAGAAGCTGAGAAGAGGAAGGAAGAAGGAGACGTCAGGGAAAGGGTTTTGTCACAACCCCGCACCCCCTCCACCTTTAAATGCTACAACTAACTTCGCTCAAGTCTGGAGTCATCTTTGCTTGCCCCATGCAAGGTGGCAAGGCCCTGTGCCTGCGAGAGGTCTCTACGCTGAGATTCCCTTCCAAACTCATGCTACTTCTTTAGGTTTACGCATCAAAGAGCCGTAGGTCCCACGCAAGCGCCCAGCCTCAATCCCAACCTTTTAAACCGCGGTGCTGTTCTACAGAATTGCCATTTGTGGTTTCTCACGGCTCAACCACGTTTTTACATACGTGCAACGGGGGAGAACCGCCTTAAACTGAATGCACTTGGCTCTTGTATATGGAGTACAGTCTCTATGGCAGGATCATTTGCGTAACTTTACCTTTCAATTAAAAGGCAATCACTTGAAGACATAAACTGACCTGCTGTCAACACTTGTTTCCGGATACAAAGAAAAAAAAATAATAAAAAAAAATCAAGCCCCAGAACCATGACACGAGGAGCTGAGCAGAGAGTTTTTGAATTATCCGGTATTTCAAACTGACCCATGTTTATCTATTGAATTAGAAATTATCTGGGGAGGGAAAAAAAAAAGAAAAGGACCCTTTAAAGGCGGCCTCAAAGTGCACAATGTGGAAACGCAATGGTTAAGCAAAACAAAGTAGCGGCACTTCGAGGGGCCACAGAGGCTGCGGCGGCTGCACCACGGGCTCACCGGGGCTCGGGACCGCTCGACACCGCCAGCGATGCCGCCTCTTTCTGGGGCAACTTTGCGCGCAGCCTCCCGGAGGGCCAGGATGGCTCCGTAGCGGCTCCCGCACCCAGCGGGTACCGCCGCCGCCGCCGCCGCCCTTCCCGCGGGGGCGCCGCCCGCCCCGCGCAGCCCCCGCGCAGGGAGGCGGGCGCGCCCTTGCGGTGCGCAGCGGCGGGAGGCGAGCGCCGGCCCCCCCGCCACCGCCGCCGGCGGGGCAGGAGCCGCCCGCGGAGCGGCGGGTCCCTCCTCCTGCCCCCCCCCCCCGGGGAGCAGCCGGCGGCGGCGGAGCGGCGAAGGGGAGGGTCTAAGGCCGGTCACCCCGCACCGCGCCGGCTGGCCGGACGGGCGGCTGCCGCCGCGCCGCGGGCATGGCGGAGCCTGGCGGCGCCGGGGCCGGGGCGGCGGGCGGGCCGCAGCAGGGCTCCCCGGCCGCCGCGGCGGTGACCGCCGGGGGGCCGGTCCGCGGCGCCGCCGAGAGCCCCGGGGGGCCCGGCTCGGCGCGCACCGCGGGGAAGAAGGCGCAGCTGCGCGCCGCGCCGCGGGCCAAAAAGCTGGAGAAGCTGGGCGTCTACTCCGCCTGCAAGGTACCCGGCCGGGCGGCCACGGGCGCCCACCCGCCCACGGAGGGTGGGGATTGACGGGAGAGGAAGGAGGGAGGTGGCGGGGAAGGGCCGTGCCCCGCCGCGCCGGGCGCGGGAGGCGGCCCCGCTGCCGCCCGGCGCTGCCCGCGGAAGTGGCGGCTCTGGCGGTGCCGGCGGATCCTTCTCCCCCTGGAGCTTTCCGGCTGGCGGTCGCAAAAACAAAACGCACGCGCACCCGACGCGGGTAGTGCCAACTCCCTGCTGCCCGTCTGTCTGCCTGTCCCTCCCTCCGTCCGTCCGTCCTTCCGAGGGAGGCGGTGGCGGGCGGGGCAGCTCCCGGGCCGGCGGTAAGCGCGGGGTTAATTAACAGGGCTGCCGCAGCAACCCCCGTAAACACCTCGGCGGGGAGCGGGGACATACCCGGGGGGGACGGCCCCGGGCGAGGGCTGCTGCGGCCCCGCACCGCAGAGCTGTTGACCCCGCAGGAGCCGCTGCCCCGATCCGAGAATGGCACCGTCGCCACCGCTCTGGAAGAGGAGCCAAGGGGCGCGGCCTCCGCGCTTGGGAAAGTTGTGTCCCTGGCGGTCACGTAGCGCCGGGCCGGTGCCCGGTGTGTGGTGAGCGGGTGGACAGCGAGCTCCCCCGGCCGCCCTCACCCTGCCCTAGTGGGGGTCTCTTCGCCGTTGTCTGCCCGGCACTCGGATTCAGGAGAGCTGCCCTGGGTTTCCCTTCACAAGCACTTTATGTCCACCTGCGATTTTCCTCTTAGTGAGAGAAACAGGACTCGCCTGTTTATTGTAGAGCGCGGTGAGAGCTGTCGCTCCCGCCTCCGGAGCTCAGTGACCGCGGGCATTGTCGCCTGTGCGCACGTGCGGGGTGTAGGAGAGGACCAGGGAGCTCAAGACACGGACTGCACTGCTGCTGTCAGGGCAATTCCTGGATGCACAGGAGTGCTGACATGTTGAGATTGGCGGTGCTGATGTCAAATCCTCTTGTAATGCTTTCAGAGTTGAAGAATAGCTGTGAGAAATGTGCGTCTTATTTTCTCTGTTCTCTTCCGCATGCAGATGTTAAGTGAAAGGCCAAACTAAATGCTCACATACAAGAGGAAACATCACTGTATGGCTCTGTAGTTCTGTGGTGGTGTGAGGAGCTTTAACTGTATGCCGAAGGCACGCCACAATGCTGTCCTAGGAGGGCAAATTACACATATTGCAATTTCTTAGCTGTTTCCAAATGTGCAGCCACCTACGCTTCAGCTTTGGCACATAGCTGGGACACTGCAAGATTACACCGGTGTCAGCAGTTTGTGTACTTGAACCTTGTGGCCCTCATTGCAGACTGGGTGCCATGAATTGAAGCTTTCCCGGTGTTGAGTCTCCTTTGCACCCCTATATTTTAATGTTACTAAGACTTGCTGTTAAACGTAGCTGGTTGTGGAGTGGGTAAATTTTTCATGGGCTGCTAGAGAAATGAGTGTGTGCTTGAATTGCTTTTTTCTTCCTTGATTGGTGCCTTTTTTCTTCCTCTGATGTGTCTCCAGATGATGTTTTTGAGGATAAAAGCTTTCTCCTGTAGTGCTTTGCCCCACAGAGGTGGCTGTGCTATAAAGAAGTGCAGGCAGCCTTGTCTCTTCCCAAACCCTTTGCTTTTTTGGGGACTCACTGGCCTCACATATGTGCTGTCACAGTGCCTTGTTTTCAGGGAGACATACCATTTCAGATGGGAGGAGGGCACGCTGTGGCCTGCTGTCAGCCCCTCTTTTCCTCTCACAGGACTCTGGTGCTGGAGTGCGGATTGGGGACCACTCGTACTGTCAGTCTTCTGCTGGGGTGTCCTTGCTGGCCCTCATCCACGACAAGTCCTGGATGCATGTCCCATTGGCATTCCAGTGATGAATGGAACAGGACCCATGTCTGGGAGCGCACCAGGGCCTCTTCCTCTTGCTAGGATGTAGGCACAGCGCCAGCACTAAACACTGTTTTGTATTAAGGTTAAGAATGCAAACTCTACCTTTGGTATTTGACTTCTCTGCAGTAATTCAGTGGCAGGCACCTTGCTTTCAGGTCTCATAACAGAAACAAGTGGGCAGACGGGAAGCTCCTTGTAAACTAACCACACAGTTTCTCCTATGGGATAAAGGGGGAAGGATGGAGCAGGATGGAAGAATGTTTTATTTTCCTTCTGGAAGACCTGGCAGGTGCTCCAGAATGACATTTATTGGCTTGTAACATTAGTGGTTTGCCAGAAACTGTAGCAGTGCAGAGTGTAACTTTGAACTTTTTCTTACTTTGAGTTGTAACTTCTCTTCCATTTGTTTTGTGTTTCTGTGTGTGAATGCAGGCCAGTAAGAGAAGGCAAAGACTTATGCCATCTCCACTGGGGATGCCTGTGTTCATTCAAGTAGTGACCATACGTGGATCTTGTACAAGTTGGAGTGCTAAAATATGTAATGGCGTCCTTAGTGTCAGTCACCTTCTCCCACATAAATTTCATTGCAAGATTCAGCATGCAGAATTTATTAGGAACCTAATCTCAGAAATGTTGAGAGTAACAGAGGCAGGGAGCATCTGTTCACTAGGGATGAAGGTGGAGAGGTCAGTGACCATGCAGAGGGTGAGTCTCACTGGTGATAGCAGAAAGATCGAGCAGAAGAGAGTGAAAGGCACTTCTCTGGAGTAGGGTGCTTGGTCCCCAAGTGAGGGACCTCCTTCTTCAAGAGGGGTCCTTTTACAAGCTACTCCTTTTCTTCATAGGAAACATGGACAAAGCCTGCTGGGAAAGACATGTTCAGCATGCATGTGTCCTGAGCAGAATGAGACTGAAGTTTAGGCAGCTGTTACCAAGGCTAGACAAATGTGGGGTTTGCTTCTTTTTCTTGATAAAAGAACTGCAGAAGAGAGTTGTAGGTGTTGGGCTGCTCCACTTGACTTGTTCCCCGTGACAGAAAGTCTGGATGGAAGTGAAATGACAGGTTCTTTTGAGTAGAAAAAAACCTTAAAAGGCCCAGGTTTCAAGGAGGAGGGTGGCATTCTAAACAAGATATTAGAAGTTGGCACAGTTTTCTTGACTTTTGGGGGTGCACAGTAGCGCTGTGTGCTGTGAGGGATTTCGTATTTGGCACTTGCAATGTCTGTGCACATATGAATGGCTGCATACATCATTTTGTTTTTGTTCAGTGTGAAATTGAGCATTAGGCATGCAAACTTGCAGCACTTTATATAAAAGCAGCACTGTGTGACTTACACACATACATATATTTAATGAAGATGTCGAAAGTAAACTCCTCTGCAGTTTTTTTCCCTATTGCTTTACAGTATGTGAAAATACAACTCTCTCTCCAGTCTCCCTGGGAGTTTTTTTTTTACAAACAAGGTGAAATATGTACTATTTTAGTACACTAAGTTTTCTGTAAAGTTGTTTATTTCTCATTTCATGTATCTTACGGTAATGCCTGGGTGTTTATAAATATAATTATAACCCAGTAGCCTGAGGCATTTGCACAAGTAACAGGTAATAATACCTCCTTGAAGAAAGACTTTGTGCTTTAGATAAGCAAAGTAGACAGAGAAGGGTTGTGATGAGATGACATGGCCAAAGACCTGCAGCAGGTGAGCCACAGATCTGAGTAAACTCTGGGTCCCAGGCTCCAGACCATCTGCTGACCCTTGCTAGAAGCACTTCTCCCCACTTATCATCCTTGAGTGACCTCTATGGAATTTTCCCACACATGAGTTCATAAGGTAAACTTGTACCACCTTTTCATAAGGAAAGTTTTTTTTCCTGATTTTTACAAGGCAGATTAAGATGAGGAGGACTTGACCATGTTACTACTGGGCTCTGTATAGAGCTCCTTGAAGCTCAGCTTGAAATGTGTATTTAGGTTATTTTCTGCAGAAGTGTATAGGAGACATATGAGACATCTAAAACTTTCTTGTAATCATTTTTGTACCGGGGCAAATCTGTTTTACAGTGTCTTACAGGCCCAATTAAAGCATCTTCCATTAAATTAAATAGGAATTTTACCATTAACTTTACAAGGTAGAAACAGGGTGCCTATTATTAATAAAAGCTTTATATGGTAGCCTAATTTTCTTCTCTAAGTAAAACTGGAAAATACATGGAATGAAATAATTGGATTGATCAGTAAATGAAGAGCATGTCCTTAGAGCTGCACATTGAACTGATTATTTTGTATTTTTAAAGATAAATGGGTCAGCTAATTTCCTGATATGTATGAGTGGCTCTCCAAGCAGTGTCTAGCTGTCTGGTTGCTGAGTACTGGACATATGAGTGGGAAAAAAATGTATTTTAAATTCATCAATGTATTTGTTATCATTTGTGTGGAGTTCTTTGAAATCATCCCTTTGAGCTTGTTGCTTGCAGGAAAAAGCTTATAGGGTGTTTTACATGGCTTTTGTGTTGGGAGGATGAGTATTTTTTTCTA